CCTGAGGCCTGGCGAGTGGCTGTCTAGACCCAGCTCCCTCAGTGGGGTTGATTATAGGTTCAAACTCTATCCTGATTCTCTGCACCTCTCGCCAGCTCCTTCACCACACCCTACTCTGAACCTCCATTTCTCACCTGGAAAAATGCAGCAGCTTGCTAAGGGGTCTTCTTGTTTGTTACCCTCTGAAATTGCCCTGTCTTGACTCTTCTACTTGTTTTTTGTTTCCCCTGTTAGCCTATATACTTCTTGTGCGCTGGCAGCTGGCACATGCATGGCCCAATAAAATATTTCTTGATGGAATGGAGGGAGCTGTGCATAGTGGCCTTCTCTAGCAAAAGATATTTTCTCTCCCAAAGGGAAATCTACTTTGTCCATATAAAAGTGAGCTCCTTAATAGGTCTACTGGGCACCATTTTGCTAACCTCATTCAAATTCCAACAGACTTCAGAGTTACAAAAGGTAGTGGTATGCTTCATTTAAGTGTGTGATTTGTAGTTTTCACACCCCAGATTGGAAGGCAGAGAATTAACTATTCTCAAATGATTACTGTAGCTAATTTTGTGCTTTTGAGGCAGGCTGACCCTCTTTGCCAGGGTGACTCAGGTGGCCAAGCTCCTCCCACCTCATTCTCAGCAATTGTTTTCAGCTGCCTCCCTAGCGCTGGCCCTAGCTCAGGTCTGGAATCTGCCTGGGGTCTGATTTTGAATGTTTGTCTCATGTAACTCTCTACCCTGGTATTGGCTATTGGGGCTTGGGGTGCATGCTTTGCTGTCCCTGTCTCTGCAACATTTGTGACCACTGTGGGTAATGCTAAGTCACGTCTCCTAGCATGATCCCGAGCCACTTGGAGGGAAATGGCCCCAGGCTGTTTCTTGGATGAAGTAGCTCTGCTCTGAGTTTTTGACACACCCCTCTCCCTCCGGCCACAGCTGACTGGGTGAGGGGTGGCCACCCCACATCATCCCAGAAGCAGCCTAGTGTGTAGAGCCTCACTTGGCACAGGAAGCTCCAGACAATGAGATGTGTACATCATATCTCACCTGATCCCCTTGGAGTTACCCAGTGTCTTAGTTCATTTCTTTTGTGTTGCTTGTAACAGAAATACCTGAAACTGGGTTTACATTAGACAAACATTCAAATGTCAGACCCCAGGCAGATTCCAGACCTGAGCTAGGGCCAGCGCTAAGGGAGGCAGCTGAAAACAATTGCTGAGAATTGTAATAATTCTAGAGAAGCAGTTGTAGAGAAAAAATATTTATTGCTTACGTTTCAGAGTTTGGGAAGTTCAAAGTCCAGGGAACACATCTGGGCAGGTGACTCTACAGCAATGCAGGGTGTCACATGGCGAGAATGGCATTGCAGAGAGAGAGATAGAGAGATTCTCACGTTTTCTACTTTTAAAACCAACAGAACCACGAATCCATTTACTACGGCATGGTCTTCACAATCTAATCACCTCTGAAGGCCCCATTTTTCAATCATCATAATAGGATTTCCCACCCTCAACAGTTACAGTGCGGATTAAGTTTTAGGGGGACATTCAATTCACAGCACCTGGGAAATGGAGACAGATTCACATAGTCAGTAGAAATTGGAAGGTTGTGAGAAAGGGAGCAGCTAGAGGAGCAAATCAGTTACAAGGAACGCGAAGCACTGAGTTGAAGAAGAGATACGAGGTTTGGAAGCAGGAAGAGATGGGACAGACACTCAAGGGGAAGTCAACACCAGAGAGTGGCCACGTTAAGGTAAAGGTGGTGGCTAGAGGGACGGTCCAGGAACACTTGCAGCTGGGGCACTGTAGCCACCTCAAGTTCTTTTTTTTTTTCTTTTCCTTTTTGTCTTTTTCTGTGTCCGGCAACGGATCGCAACCCTCAGTGTTGCCCCCGTACCGGACCGGGACCGGCAACGGGATCGGAACCCTCAGTGTTGCCCCCGTACCGGACCGGGACCGGCAACGGGATCGGAACCCTCAGTGTTGCCCCCGTACCGGACCGGGACCGGCAACGGGATCGGAACCCTCAGTGTTGCCCCCGTACCGGACCGGGACCGGCAACGGGATCGGAACCCTCAGTGTTGCCCCCGTACCGGACCGGGACCGGCAACGGGATCGGAACCCTCAGTGTTGCCCCCGTACCGGACCGGGACCGGCAACGGGATCGGAACCCTCAGTGTTGCTCCCGCGCCTCGCCCGGCCCGTGAGCGGGAACCGGTCCGTATGTGGGATCCGAACCCTTGGCGGGAGCGCCACCACGCTCCCAAGCGGCGCACTGTAGCAGTGCGCCACCGGGCCGGCCCTCAAGTTCTTAAAGACCTTTCTGTTACAGTCCCCATGATCCCAGGTCATGAAATGCTCCTGGGTTTCAGGGAGATTCTGGCTCCCTTGCTGCACCACAGTAAACTCGTGTTACTCAAAATCTGTAATATCCACAGGAGCGGTTCAACTCCTCAAGGGTCTAGACTCCATTTTCTTTTCTTTTTCATGTATCTTCCCAAATTATATATATATATATATAAAATATAAGCATATATAATATATAGAGTCATGTCATGCTTTACGACAGGGATAGGTTCAGCGAAATATGTAGTGAGGTGATTTCATCATTGTGTGGACATTGTCGAGTCTATTTACATAAACTGAGGTGGTATAGCCTGCTACACACCTAGGCTATATGGTATAGCCATTGTAATCTTATGAGACCACCACTGTAAATGCAGTTGAGTGCAATGTTGTTTTGCAGTGCATGACTGTATACACATGTATTTACACGCATATATATTGCAGATGCAGTAGAATTGTGACTTAGATGAGGGCTAGAGTTTAAACTGTGTATTAGGCTAAAAGTGCATGTAGTCAAAATTAAGCCTGAGAATCCTTTAAAGTACTATGGACATATACACCGTGGTTTTGGGTGGATGAGTACAACCCTGTGTGGTATTATGTAACTATAACTGCAGGGCAATATCAGTCAGGACCTTCCCATAGAACTCTTGCTGAAATAGGTGCAAATGAGAAAAAACAGATTCTGGTTCCCCCACCCACTGCCAGACAGTCACAGTGAAAAACTTGTGATCATAATTTACAAAGACTTTTTCCATCTCAAATGGCAATTGATTAATTCCTTCCAGCAAATGAATTGCTGTGCCGTTTGTGTTAAGTCAGATGTTCTCTGAGAATAGCTTAACTGGAACCCTCATGACTTTCCAAAGATTTGAGGTAGTTCTAATAATTGGCACATATATAATAATTCCACCAAAATAGAAAGCAAACAAAAAACCTATAGAAAGGAAAATAATCCAAACAGTGAGGCTGATCTAATTCCAACAACGAACAACTAAACTCTAAGTTTTCTGGAAGTAAAGAAAAAAGGGAAAATCCTAGATAAAAATTCTCATTGCTTAACCAAAATAAATTAGTTGAGAGGAGTTTTCTCTTGACACTATTAAAAAAATTGTCACTCATAATTTCATCATAGCTATACTGTTATTTTTGCTTATATACACTATATTCAAGTCCTTGTCTGCAAGCAAAATATAGATTATTTTTCAAAAACATTTCAATAGGCAAAATATTCATGTAGTTTGAAAACAACAAAGTATGAAAAGTATACAGTGAAAAGTTTCCCTCCCATCCTTGTCATGCATCTGCCTAGTTTCAAGTCCCCTCAACTGCCATGTGTAACATGCTAGAATTTTTCTGCATATTCAAGAATATCATTAACAGCAACAAAATATATATTTTTATCCTCACCCCTTTTTTGTACTCTGATTTTTTTCATTTAATAATATATCTTTCAGGTTTTCCCCTATCAGTAGAAGGAAAGAGTCTTCATTCATTTGGGCTGCTATTACAAAATACCTTAGACTGTGTAATTTATAACCAAAAGACATTTATAGCTCATGGTTCTGAAGGCTGGAAGTCCAAGATCAAGGTGCCAGCAGATTCAGTGTCTGGTGAGGGCCTGTTCCTCATAAACAGTGCCTTCCATGTGTCCTCACATTGTGGAAGGGGCAAACAGGCTCCCTCAAACCTCTTTTATAAGGGTGCTAATCCCTCATGAGGGATCCTGCAGAACCCTCATGACCTAATCACCTCCCAGAGACCCCACTTCTTAATACTAGCACATTGGGTATTAGGTTCCCACATATGAACTTTGGGGCAATACTAGCATTCAGACCACAGAAGAATGCTTCCACACTCTCTTTTATAGCTACATGGTAGTTCATTGTCTGGATGTACCATAAGTTATTTAACTAGAGCCCTACTGATATCATTTGGGTTGCTTCCATGTTTTGGCTACTGTAAACAAAGCTCGAGTGAATAACCTTACACGTATATAATCTTACACATGTGCAAGGATAGCTGAAGGATAAATTCCTTGATGCAAATTGCTGGGTCAATGAGTCAATGCATTTATAAATTTGATAGCTATCACCCAATTGCCTTGCGGAGGGGTTTTAGTAATTTATGCTTCTACCAGCAGAGTTAGTGGGTTGAGTGCCTCATAATATCTATACATCAGAACCAGCATGTGCCTGCTGCATTCCAGGGAGGAGGGAAAAAGACTGTGAGAAAGGAAGAACTACGATATGTCAGACATACTCTCTGTGTTCACACTCTAGATAAACTCTGTTACTGCAGGAGACAAAGTGTATTTCCCAAACGAGAAAACTGAATCTCAGAGAGGTTAAGCAAATTTGCACAATGCCTCAGGTAAGTGAGTAGAAGAGTCCTAAACCCATGGCTGGCTCTGAAGCCTGTGCTGTTCCAGTGGGCCAAGTCATGGAGCCAGGGGAGGATATCTCAGCAGGGCTCTGCTGTCTTTCTGAGTCTGTTTCGATCAGTATTCGTGAACGTGAGCCACATTTGTTGTTTCCAAATTACTTTATTTTGTTGCCTGCCTCGAACTTCAAGTGTCAGAGCTCAGCCCTACTTAGAGGAGCCCCTGACAACCCCTCATCCCTCCCTCTTTGCCTCCTCCCCAGGTCCCAGTGCACACCCTTCACAAGTGATGTCTTTGGGTACAGCAGGGTCCCTCCAGGAGTGGCTCTCCCAGAAGAGCATCTAGCCACCATTCCAGGTCCTGCACTAGCTGCTCCAGCTCTCGCACCTCTTCCTCTAACTTCTCCAAGAAAACATGTAAGTTCTCCTTCAGCCATTTCCTGATGATCCTTATCGGATCTTCTGCAGGTTCACTGGTCTGATATTGAAGCCCCTGAAAGACACCAAAATTACGTCATGAGCTTTTTCATGTAGGATTCCATTGCTACTGGTTTCAAAAAGTTCCCTGGGCCTTTGCATATGCTGCTTGTTCTGCCTGGAGTACCCGTCCCCATGTCCACCTGGTCAGCTCCTACTTACGCTTCATGACCCAGCTCACCAATGACACTTCCTCTGGGAAGCCTCCCAGATTTTCTCACCTCAGTAGTTGCCTCAGTATCTTGCTGAATACGATACCTGGGAAGCCACAGGACTCTGGGGGTAGTTACAGTCTCTGATCCTTTCTGACACCTCCCAACTTCTTCCTGAAACAGGCACAAACACCACCTCTTAAGGCCAAGTGAATGGTAGTTGAAATAAACATGGTTGGTCATCCCAGTGGGATGAAGGGGGATGAGCAGGAGAATGCGGGCTGTGGAGGCCCCTTTGGCATGCAACCATCTCCAGGATACTCCCCCTGACTCACTGTGGACTCGGTTCCTCCTTTCTCAGATTCCAGAATGCTCACCTGATATCCCTGTGCCCAAGTACAGCACTAAGACCAGCAATGCCAACAGCATCTGGGGACAAGAAGAGGAGGGGAGAGGGGAATGGGAGGGTGAATTCCTGGACAGCAGAGCGTTCCCCGGCTTTCTTCACAGAGGGCCAGGCGTGGGGGTGCTATGAGATAGTTTTCAGAACTTAACTTTTTTTCTAGTATTTAAGTCACACTTGCTTACCACAAAATTCCCAAACATCGCAGATAACATAGCAACTTACATTTAATTTGTGTTTTCCCTCCTTTCTCCCTCCTGAGAAGTAAGGCCCACCTCTGCTTTCATTCCTTGCCTGACTTTTAAATATGTGGTTTTGATTGATCTTTAAAATCAGCCTTGTTGTGGTATAGTTTCCATACAATAAAATGCACACATTTAAAAAGCACAGTTTGATGAGTTTTGACAAATGTCTATATCTATGGACAATCACCCCAATCAAGATGCACAATATTCCCATCATCTTAGAAAGTTCCCTCATGTCCTTTTGTGATCAATTCTCTCCTTACTTCCACCCTGCCAGAGAGACCACTAATCTGCTTTCTGTCAATGCACTAGTTTTGACTGTTCCATAACTTCATATAAATAGAAGAACACGGTACATACACTTTTGTGTTTAGCTTCTGTTGCTTAACATAACATTTTTGAGATGGCTTCATGTTTCTGTGTGTTCAGTTTTATTGATGAGTACTTATATTGTGTATTTTATTGATGAGAATTTATATTATATGAAAATAGCACAATTAATTTCTTCACCTGGATGAACTTTTGGGTTGTTTCCAGTTTTGGGCTATTATGAATACTCATGTACAAAACTTCGAGTGGTCATATGTTCTGATTTCTCTTGGGTTAATATCCTGAAATGTGAATGCTGGGTCATATGGTAAGGGTATGTTTAATTTTATAAGAAACTGCCAAACTGTTTTCCAAGGTGTTTGTACCATTTTACATTCCTGCCAGCAATTCATGAGAGTTCTAGTTGCTCCACATCCTTGTCAACACTTGGTATTGTCAATCTTAATTTTAAGGATTCTACTGCTTGTGTAGTGACATGTCAATCTAGTTTTTACATGCATTTCCCCAATGATTAATGATGTTAAGCATCTTATCATGTGCTTATTGACCATTCATAATGCATAGATCTTTTTTGTGGTGTGTCTATTAAAATATTTTGCCTATTTTTATCGAACTATTTGTCTTCTTTTTCTTAAGTTGTAATAGTTCTTTATATATTCTGGAGATAAGTCCTCTGGAAGATATTAGCAATATTTTCTCCAAGTCAGTGGCTTGTCTTTTCATTTTCTTACCAGTGTCTTTTGAAAACTAAAAGCTTTCAGTTTTGATGAGGTTCAGTTCATCAAATTTTTCCCTTTTGTGGTTGTGCTTTTTGTGTGCAGTCTAGGAAATCTTGCCAACTTCAAGGTTGTGAAGATTCTCTACAGTTTACTTTTAGACATTTTATTGTTTTAGCTTTTACGTTTAGGTATATAATACATTTTGAATTAATTTTGGGGTGCTTCTGGTCAAGATGGTGGAATAGATGGTCCCCAGTTTCATTCTCTCATACATATCAACAAATTTGCAACTATAAAAAAGGAATGACAGCCAAGCTGGGGCTGCTAGAGCTCAGGGGAAGAGGAGGAGAGACCTACAGAGTGCATGAAGGCATGAGAAGCCATGATGAGAGAAAGAAAGAACTGCTCTGACTGTTTTGAATCCTGGCTGCTTCTAGGCTGGAGCTGCTGAGCGCACGGAGCAGGAGCTGGCAAAAGCCATGGCTGTGCCCTTTGGATGAAGTTGCTTGGAGGTGGCAGGGGAGAAGAGGGCCTTGGCGGCCCCCAGGCCGGGAAGACTGCTAATAGGGTTCCTGTGGACCCACATAGGACTGAGGAACCACAACAACTGAAAAAAAGGAGCCACTCAGAGGCTGGTGAGTTATCACAGGGGACCAGCACATGGGAAGTGTTTGGAGTGAGGGGGATGGGGGAGTTGGGCCCACTGGGAGAACACTGGGGCACAGCAAGGACAACTGATCTGTCCCCCAATCAGTGTAGGACCACTCAGAGGACACTGGTCAGGAATATAGAATTGCATGGGGTACAGTTTGCTGAAAAGACTCAGGCCCAGACCAGAGTTTCTGCACAACCCGGTTGTACCAGATCTCATGAAAGCCAGAAGTACCTATAAAGTAAACCATTAAAACCTGAGCTGCACAAAAAGCCTTCCCTAGGGAATCAGCAGCAGAGCAGCAATTTAGCTTAATCACAGAGCTCAAGTACAGTCCCCACAGGAAGTTTCCCCATTTTAGAAATTAGCAAAACCCAACAAATTAGTTCCGGCACAATGTTTAAGTGGTGGGAACAGCAAATAATCCAACACAGAACTGAAAGGAAAAACAAAGTACCCACAACCAGAGGCAAAGTTTGATATTAACTAGTAGAGGTCTCAATTCACCAAAGAACACCTATAACTCCTAGAAGGACCAGAAGTCCCCTGGGCTACCAAGCCTGAAAGCAGGGCAGGCTAGGGGCATGGTTGAGGCCCCAACACCTGCAACCAGTCCTGAGGGTGGGGGCTGATGGCCTCAGGTGCAGCCCCTGGACACACGCAACCACCCCAGTGATGACCACTGAGCTGCTGCAGGTAGCATCCCTCCCGAGCTGGGGTGGTGGGGAGTCAAGGGCCTTGGCCATGCCCCCCTGACACCCGCAACCAGCCCAGCAATGACCATGAGCTGCCACAGGAAGGGCTTCAGGTTCGTGAGCTGGGATGGTGGGTTGCGAGGGCTTTTGTCACACCCCTCTGACATCTGCACCCAGCCCAGCAAGGACCAAGCCACCACTGGAAGCTCCCTGGTCTCCCCTGTGGGAATGAAGAAGATGCCACAGGCCTCAGTCCTGCTCCTCCTCCTTCCTCCTTCTTCCATCCCATTTCCTTCCCCTTTCCCCCCTCCCTCCCAACTGCTCTGCAACAACATCATAGAATATAAAGAAATAATAATATTAATAATAAATAAATAAAATGAATTAATTTTTGTATATGATAAGAAATAGGAATTGATTTTTTTTTATGTAAATGTCCATTGTTCTAAAATTGTTTTAAAAGGCTAATTTTTTCCTTATTGAATTATATGGGTGTCTCTATCGAAAATATAGCCACCATATATTAATGTAGGTCTATTTCTAGATTCTATTCTGTTTTGTTGATCTATACATTTATCTTTACATCAATATTATATTAATCTATGTTAGTTTGCTATGGCTGCCATAACAGAATACTGCAAATTGGGTGACTTAAACAGCAGAAACTTATTTTCTCACAGTTCTTGAGGCTGGAAGTCCAAGGTGAAGGTACAGGCAGAGTGGTGTCTGATGAGGCCTCTATCCTTGGCTTGCAAATGGCCACCTTCTCACTGTGCCCTCACATGCCCTTTTCTCCATGTGTGCACATCCCTAGTGTCTCTTCCTCTTCTTATATCAGTACTAATGGGATTAGGACCCCACCTTTGTGACCTCATGTAATCTTAATTACCTCCTTAAAGGCCTTATTTCCAAATATAGTCACTTTGGGGGTTAAGGCTTCAGCGTATAAATTTTGAGGAACACAATTCTATTCATAAAGACTACATTGTTGCTATTCTATTCCATTGATTTCTATATCTGTCTGACATTATACCACATTATCTAGATTACTGTGGCTTTATATTAACTTCAAGTCAGATAGTGTAAGTTTTTCAACTTTGTTCTATTTCAAATTTGTTTTGGTTATTCTGTGTACTTTGTATTTTCATTCATTATTTAGAGTCATCTTTTTCAGTTTCTACAAAAAATCTGCTGGGATTTTGATTGGTGTTACATTGAACCTACAGTTCAATCTGGTAAGAAAGAATGTCTTAAAAAATATTGTATCTTGTAATCCATAAACACGACATAGTATATCTCTCTATTAGGTTTTCTTTAGTTTCTCTTAATGATGTTTTGTAGTTTTCAAGTGTAGAGGCCTTGCACATCATTCCAAAGTATGGTATAGTTTTTTCTGATGCTCTTATAAATAGTATTTTAAAATTTTCATTTCCCAATAGTTGCTGGTCTATAGAAATACAATTGAGTTTGTATCTTGTAACTTAAGTGATTCTAGTAGTTTTTTGGTAGAGTTTAGAATTTCATACATAGAAATTAGGTTTTCTATGAAGAAAATTTTATCTCATTCTCTCTAGTTTTTATCCTTAAAAAAGATATTAGCCTTTTTTTCCTTGCCTTATGTATTGACTAGAACCGCTAGTAAAATATCAAACAGACGTGGCAAAACTGAGCCTCCTCATCTTACCCCCTATCTCAGAGGGAAAAGTGTAATTTTTCACCATTAAGTGTGGTGTTAGTTATAGATTTTTTTCATTGTCATCCTTTATCAGATAGAAGTTTCCTTCTATTCCTGGTTTTCTGAGGACATTAATATGAATGAGTGTTAAATTAGTGAAATGCCTTTTCTGTGTCTGCTGAGAGATTAAATGAGTGTCTCCTTTTGTGGTAAATTGTGTTAATTGACTTTTGAATATTGAACCAACCTTGAGTTCCTTCAATTAGCTCCAAGTGTTCATGATGCACCAGCCTTTTTATGTAGTGCTGGATTTGATTTGCTACTATTTTGTTGAGATGTTTTGCATCCACGTTCATGAGAGATTGATTTAAATTTTTTTTCTGTATGTTTGTCAAGGTTTGGTATCAAGGTTATATTGCCTCCTTAAAACGAGTTGGTAAGAATTCCCCTTCTCCTCTGTTTTATGAAAGAATTTGTGTAAGGTTGGTATTTTTGTCTCAATGGCTGATAGAATTTTGATGAGAACTTTTTGAGCCTGTATTTCTTCTAGAGTCAATTTTGTAAGTTGTATTGTCCAGGAAGTTTCCTTATTTTACGTAAGTTAAATATATTGGCATCAAGTTGTTTCTAATATTACCTTAATATCTTTTTAATGCCTCTAGGACTGTTGTGATAGCCCTCTCTCATTTTTTTTTTTTTTTTGTCTTTTTCCGTGTCCGGCAACGGATCGCAACCCTCAGTGTCGCCCCCATACCGGACCAGGGACCAGCAACGGGATTGCAACCCTCGGTGCTGCTCCCGCGCCTCGCTCAGCCAGTGAGCGGGAACCGGTCTGTATGTGGGATCTGAACCCTCGGCGGGAGCGCCGCCGCGCTTCCCAAGCGGCGCACTGTAGCAGTGCGCCACCGGGCCGGCCCGTTCTCTCTCATTTTTGATATTGGTAATTTGTGTTTTTTCTCTCTCTTTTAAATTAGTGTATTTAATTTTATTTCATAAAATTGCCAATTTTATTAATCTCAAAGAAATCATTTATTAATTTTCTTTATTATTTGTTAGCTTTTTATTTCATTAATTTCTGACCATTTCTGTCCTTCTACCATTGAGCTTAATTCTTCTTTTTCTGCTCTCTAATGTGGAGACTTTGACAATTGCTTTTAAGATTTTCTTGTTTTCCGAATGTGTGTGTGTGTGTGTGTGTGCACATATTGTCTGACATTGAATTTTCCCCTAACTCACTAGATTTGAGCTGAGTCAGACTTAGTTTGCCTTAAAGAAATGATACATTTCTTGTTCACCTGAGTTTGTGATGCAAGAGTTAGAAAGCTGCTGTCCCCAACAAAGAAGATACAAGATTTGTATAACTTGCCTCCCCCAGATAGTTTTCTTTATATATATACTAGCAAATATATTATTATTATTATTAACTTAAAAAATAAAAATAAGGTACACAGTAACAACATGGTTGAGTCCCACAGACACAACGATGAGTCAAAGGAACCAGCTTCAAAGGTACACACAGTATGATTCTGTTTACATGAAATTCAAGAATGTACAAAACTCATCTATAATGATAAAAATCAGAATCATGGTTACCGGGGTGGTGTGCTAGCTGAGACGGGGCCCATAGGAGCCTTCTGGGGTATATGGAAATGTTCTATGGCTTTATCTGGGTAGTGATGGCCTCCAGTGTGTACACCCAATACAAAAGTCATTACACTGGACGCTTAAGATTAGGGCACTTTTAATTTTCTTAACAATGTTCCTTAGGAGACTTTTCATGGAAGACACACAGAACTGTCTTATTCTCTAAAATAACTGCTAACTATTCTGTGGTCTGGACGCTCTTCTATTTGTTTAATCTCTCTTCTAGCAACAGCTTTGCAGGTTGACTTCTTCCCCAGCATGTTTGGTAGAAAGCTTCCCCAGGTTTCTATTTTGTGCTGTAACAAGGCAAAGGAAGGAACGTAGACTAGGATTAAGTTTTAGTCCTTTTCCTTGTGCTGTCTGGGGGCCTGAGCTGAACACCTCTCTGAGCCTCAGTTTCTTCATCTACAAAATGAATTTTGAAATATGCTGAAAGTTCTTTTAAAAAGAAAAGATGGGCCTCTGTGATGGAATCAATTTGGGAAGTGCTGTGGTAAACAACGTTAAGTGGATTTCTTGGCTGTAGGATTTCTCAGTGTCTTCATTATGTGAACGAGCAGTGTAAATATCCCAAGAGGGGACAAGGTTTGCAGCATGCCCCAAACCACAGAACTCTTTTTATAGTTTTTCTGAAAGGGGAATTTTGGGGATTTGGTATTTGTGTAATGGTTTTTAGGAAAAACTGCAGCATGATGGAAACCCACCTGTCAAGGACCCCATCACGTGTTACGAGTTCCAGCACATGTACAGTAAATGAACGAGTGAACACATCTTTTGAAAACATATACAGATCAGTCATTCATTGCTCTGATTAAAAACCCTTCAACAGATTCTAACTATTCTCAGAATAAAATCCCACCCCATCCATCGTGTGCAAGGCCCAGCTGAACTTTGCAGCTTCCTTTTACATCCTCACTTCTGCACCCGGGAGGCAGTGGAGTACATGGTGCCCTTGCTCAGTGTTCTGCTATCAGATGGACCTGGTTTCAAAGGGCTCTGCAATCAGATGGATGTGGTTTCAAATCCTGACATGTCCTGGCTGTATGGGTTTCTTGCCTTTCTGAGTCTCAGTTTACCCATCTGTGTATGAGGTTGACAGCATCTGCCTCTCAGGAATGTTGTAAGTCAGGGAAGAGAGAGCGAGCAGAAGCACCAGGCTGGGCAGTGTTAATGTTTTCCATTTGGACAAAATCCCATGTGAAGTTAGAATTTCAGTCCTGAGAACGAATCTTCCAAGAGCTTTCCAATTCAGGTGTATTATTCTATTTATTTCAGTTTGTTCATTTATTCAACACCTATTATGCAATAAGCACTATTCTAGACACCAGGGGTATAGCAGGAAACTAAACAAAAATCCAGCCTTCCTGGAACATACCTTCTGTGCACTGTGTTGCGAACTACATAAGACAGTGTCGGTAATGGCTTTGGTGAGAAGTGCCTAAGCCCCTAAGCTGGGCTCCACCAGATTGGGCTCTGGGAGAGTGTGGTTCAAAGCCCATTCCTGACCTACAGTCTGTCTGCAGTGGCAAAGGGAGCCCAGGGGGGAGGAAAGCAGCGTGCACCTGGCTTAGCCTCACCTGCTTCTTGTCTTCACAGTGGCTGCCCCTTCTCTGTTCAAACAGCTCCACTGGCAAATTCTCAGCTGCCACCTGCTCAGCTGCCACCCGCCCCCTGCTGCCCACCTGTTGGATTGTCATGGCCTCAGGTCAGGCTGCCTGGGGGTAACAAGGTACCCCCACCCGATAGGCAGATGGGCATCCCTCCCCTCCCCCACCTCTGGTCACCAGGCATCCCTCCAGCACTGAGTTCTGATGTCACAGAAGGTGGGGGACAGCAAGGCCCCCATCTTCCCACCACTCTGATTTTTAGGTGCTTTCCTTGCATTTCCCCTATAATGCATAAAACAAAGACCTGGAAGAAATGCATCAAAGGATTACATTTCAGGTTGATGATTTTTCTGGTCTATTTTCTTCTATATGAGGGTACTTCAAAAAGTGCATGAAAAAATTCATATTATCTTTCAATTTTATTTTTCTATGCACCTTTTGAAGCACACTTCTATTTGCAAGCATTTAGTGAAAATGCTAATTTTAAAATACAAAAACAATAAAGGCTAGTTTTCATTGAAAAATTTATGGAGATCATTGTAGATTCACACACAATTCTAAGAAATAATACAGAGATCCTGTGTATCCCTTACTCAGTTTCCCCCAAGGTAACATCTTGCCTCACTGTAGTATGATATCACAATCAGGATATTAACATTGATACAATCCACCAACCTTATTCAGACTTCCCCAATTTTACTTGCACTCATCTGTGTATGCATGTTTAATTCTAAACAATTTTGTCACATGTGTAGTTTTGTGTACCTACCACTACAGTCAAGTGCAGGAGGGTTCCAAAACCAGAAGGAGGCTTTGTGATGCCCACTGCCTCCCCTGCCCCCAACCCTACTGTCCCTAACTCCTGGAAGTCTGTTCTCAATTTCTAAAATTTTGTCATTTCAAAATGTTATAAATAGAATCAGATAATATGTCACCTTTGGGGATTCACTTTTTTCTTTTTCTTTTCTTTTTTTTTAACATAGAATTAATGAACTTGGAGTTTCATCCAGGTTGCTGAATGCATTAGTAGTTCATTCCTTTTACTGCTGAATAGTATTTCATGATGTATATCCACCACCCTTTGTTTAAACATTCACTGGCTGAAGGACACATTCAAAACATATTAAAAAACTGGCTGTTTCCAGTTTGGTGCTCTTATAAATAGGCTGATATGAACATTCTTGTTCAGGTTATTGTGTAAACATATGTTTTCATTTCATGTAAACATAAGAGTGCAATTGCTGGGTCATATAGTAATTGCATGATACTTTTATTAAAAACTGTCAAAACTCTTTTCCGGAATGGCTGTGCTATTGTTCATCCCCGTTAGCAAATGAATGAGTGATTCTGTATCCTCACATTCTCACAAATTTTTGGTGTTTTCACTTTTTAAAAAAAATTTTAGCCATTTTGATAGGTACATGTGGTATCTCATCATGGTTTTAATGTGCATTCCCTGATAGCTAATGATGTCGAACATCTTTCCATGTGCTTATTTGCCATCTGTATGTCTTCAGTGAAATATCTGTTCATGCCTTTTGCCCATTTTCTAATTGGGTTGGTTTTTCTACAGTTGAGTTATTTTAATTTTTTAAATTTTTTGGTGGCTGGCCAGTATGGGGATTCGAACCCTTGACCTTGATGTTACAGCACCTGTTCTAGCCAACTGAGTTAACCGGCCAGTCTACGGATGAGTTTTGAGAGTTCTTTGTATATTCTAGATACTTGTCCGTTGGACATATGGTTTGCAAATATTTTTTTTCCCAGTCTGTAGCTTGTTTTTCATCCTATTCACATGGGCTTTTGCAGAAAAATAGTTTTATATTTTGATGGGGTCTAACTTACCATTTTTTCTTTTAAAAATTGTGCCTTTTGTGTCAAGTCTAAGAATTCTTCACCTAGTCCTAGATACTGAAGATTTTCTCCCATTTAAAAAAGAAAAGTTTTATAGTTTTGTACTTTATATTACAGTTCATGATCCATTTGAAATTAATTTTTTTACAAGGTGTGAGGTTTAGATCAAGGTTCATTTTTTTGCCTAGGGATGTCTAACTGCTCCAGCACCATTTGCTGAAAAGGCCATCCTACCTCCTTTGAATTAATTTTTCACCTTTGTCAAAAACCAATTGAGCATATTTGTGTGGGTCTATTTCTGGGTTCTCTATTCCGTTTCATTGATCTATGTGTCTATCCCTGCATCAGTACCACACTGTCCCGATTAGTGCAGCTATCTAGTCAGCCTCACTATAACGTAGAGTGATTTTTTTTCCACTTTCTTCTTTGCCAAGATTGTTTCAGCTCTTCAAGGGCCCTGGACTTTCCATGTAAACTTTAGAATAAGCTTATCTATGTCTACAAAAAACTTTGCTGCCTGGGATTGTGATAGGAATTGCATTAAACCTACAGATCACTTTGGGGAGAGCTGACATCATTACCACGTTGGGTGTTCCAGTCCATGGATACGGTATGCCTCTTCATTAATTTAATTTAATTTTTATTTTCACAGCTGGCCAGTATGGGAATCCGAACTCTTGTCCTTGGTGTTACAAGGCCTTGCTCTAATCAACTGAGTCCACCTGCCAGCACTCTTTAGGTCTTCCTTGTTTTCTTTTATCAGCATTTTGAAATTTTCAGCATCTAGATCTTATACATGTTTTGTTAAGTGTATCTCCAAATATTTCACTCTTTTGGACTTCTCTCATACTTTGAAAGCCCCAGTCTACTAAACAAATTTCATGTGTTAAGAAATCAGTAATTTCCCATACTTTATGAATTAATTTTCCTAAAGTTACACATACACAGCTTCTAGTTAGCACCCAGATAACTTATTGAGATCTATTACATACTAGGCATTTCACTAGGTTATTTTACTACATCTTGTCTAGGCTGTAATTCTGTAGGTAGTTGGGGACTGAATCTGTTTTAATAACTATTGTATTTCTAATGCTCATATGCAGCCTGTTATATAGTAAATGTTCAGTAAAAATATTTGTTGAAAGGATGAATAATGAGCAATCTCAAACTGTGGGCTCTGAGAGGCCATGAACTGTTTCTGGTGAATACATTTTTGTATTTAGAGTACTTGGCTCAGTAAATATTTGGTAAATGAGTAAAGCAGGTGGTATGATTTTTATTTTACCAGTGAAGAAGCTGAGGCTCAGGGTGGCTAAGGAAGTATATCAGGAGGAGTGGGTGTCATGTACTGAGTCCTTACTGTGCGCCGGACTCATGCTAACTAAGTGCTTTTCATACATGACCTCATTTAATCATAACCGCCCTGCAAGGCTGGTGCTGTTAGTATCTCAGTTGGGGAGGTGACTTACTCAGTGTCACACACCCTGCCTGAGTACAGGGCTATTTAACTCCAAAGGCTTTTAGTTTATCCCAAGCAGTTATATAATTTCAGCCCGAAGCAAAGAAAGCTGCCATTCTTATTACCCTTTGTGGCTTTTTTTGTGGGTAAGTAAATGTGGGATTTTCATGAAACTTTTTTTTTTTTCCTTTTTGTCTTTTTTCGTGACCAGCAACGGATCGCAACCCTCAGTGTCGCGCCCATACCGGACCGGGACCGGCAACGGGATCGCAACCCTCAGTGTCGCACCCGCACCTCGCTCAGCCAGTGAGCGGCCGGTCTGTATGTGGGATCCGAACCCTCGGCGGGAGCGCCACCACGCTCCCAAGTGGCGCACTGTAGCAGTGCGCCACCGGGCCGGCCCCATTCATGAAACTTTTTGAAATATCAAATGTAGCTACATTCCCTCCTCCTCCAACCCCATAACCACCCCAGTTTGGCACCCCAGGCATTTAATACTATCTCCACTCCTTCTTCCCCCTTTTCTTGCATATACTTATTATTATTATCACCCGCAACTAAGTTAGTTCAAGAAATTTCTGAGTACAGGTCACTGTGAAAAGTGCTTTGCAGGCACTGGCTCACTGTATAATTATTACAGTGAGCCAGAGCCTATTAATATTATTATTAGGTGGTAAATGATATTTTTATCCCCATTTTACAGATGGGGAGACTGAGGCTTAGAGCGATTAAGTCATTTTCCCAAAGTTCCACAGCTGGTAAGAGGCAGGACTGAGATTTGAACTCCACCCTTCTGATACCAGCACCCTGGCTCTGAATGTCCATGAGATACTGCCCTTTGCATGGGAAAACTCAAGAGCAGAGAAAGAAAGGGCCCTGTCCAAGCCAGTCAGAGGGAAGAGACCCAACTCAAGTCTCTTGCCTCCTACTTGGGGCACTTCAAAAGGCTGTATGCATCACCTTGATCTTGCATGTGCCATGTGCCTGCTGGCCTTGTGGGCTTTATCTCCTACACACATTTCAAATGTCAAATGCAGATATGCAAGGATTGCCCTTTAAGTTAAGTATGGCACATCTAAAGTAATGAATTATAGTCGTGGAAAGAGAGAACAACTAGAAACATTTTCTGGAAAACCCAGTGAATTCTTCCAGGAACCCCCTCTGAAGGGTAGAGCTTCTGAGATTGCTTTGAGGGCCATTTCCTGGGGATTCAGCCTTAGGGCAGGACGGAGAGAAAGAGCATCCCCACCTGGCTCTCAGAGAGCATGCCCAGCGGCTGGTGTGGGCAGAGGTACCCCCACCCCTCACTCACCAGTAAAGAAAGTGGGAAGGGATGAGAGAGGAGAGAGGGGCCCGATAAAGAGAGAATTAGGGAGCGAGTGGCTTCCTGAGTCAATGTGGGAGTGAACGGGGCAGCGGTGGAATCAGAGGAAAATGTGTGACTGAAACAGAGTTCCAGGCAAATACTTAACCAGCCTCAAAAGTTACACCCCGCCCAGGGAGAAATCTGCCCCATACCTAACAAGTGGAGACCAAGCAGTGCTTCGTGCTTGAGTCCTGTCTCCCAAGCACACCTGGGTTCACATCCTGGTGTCACTGTAACATTCACTTGGAGAAGTGACATCATGTCTCTGAGTTTCAGTTATCTGAGGAATGAGGCCAACCATAATGCACATCTTGTGGGGTTACAGGGAGGGCTAAAGGGGCCTACTGGGTAGTGCCTGGTTCAAACTGGACCTCGGTTAGTTTTTCTCCCTCCCATCCCCTCTCTTTCTCC